CATCTTAAAAGAATACAAAAGGCTAACTTCCTGCACACCACCACCACTCTCCTCGACAGCTGTGTCCCCATTTCTCTGACTCTCTTTACTTCAGAACTCTATGTCTGCTGATACCTCCTTGGTGCACTCTAACCAGAGTTTTACCCTCATCACTCCATAAGACCCTTATCACAGTCCCGAAGGGAGTAGCTCCTAATATTCAAACCAAGACGAGTACGTAAAGCAACACAGTTCATTTACCATCTTCCTCCTTGTGAAAGCGTTCCTTCCTGGCTCTCAGGGCCTCTCAGTTCTACTTTGCTGGTTTCCTCTCATCTCCCTCAACTGGAAAGTAAGAGTAAACGAAGGCTCAATCCTCCCAAAGTGTGTTTATCAACACTCACTCTGTAATTCATCTGGTCAGGATTTCTCAATCTTGGCACTGTAACATTCCGGACCAGATAAATCTTAGTTGAGGGAGCCATCCTATGTACTGCAAAATGTCTAGCTCACAGGACGCCTACAGCAGCCCCAATCGTGATGTCAAAAAAATGTTTCTCCAGGGGTGCCTGGGTGGCTCAGTTGGTTAAGCATCTGACTCTTGAGGTCACGATCTCACATTTCGTGAGACTAAGCCCCATGTTGGTCCCTGTGCTGGCAGTGTGGAGCCTGCCTGGGATTCTGTCTCTCTGCCCCTCTCCTCCTCTCACCAGCTCGTGCGCATGTGCGCTCTCTCAAAATAAATAAATATTTTTTTAAAGAAATGTGTCTCCATGGGGTGTCTGGGTGGCTCAGTCAGTTAAGCGTCCGACTTCAGCTCAGGTCACAATCTCACAGTTCGGGGGTTTGAGCCCCGCGTCGGGCTCTGTGCTGACAGCTCAGAGCCTGGAGCCTGCTTCAGATTCTGTGTCTCCCTCTCTCTGACCCTCCCCCGTTCATGCTCTGTCTCTGTCTCAAAAATAAACATTAAAAAAAATTTTTTTTTTAAATTAAAAAAAAATAAAAGAAATGTGTCTCTAGACATTGCCAAGAGCCCCCTGGAGGGCAAAATCACTTCTAGTTGAGAACCACTGGCCTAGTTCTTTGGCTTTCAACACCAGATATATACACTGGCAGCTACACAACTTGGCCATAGCCTGAACCTCTCGCTTCCAACTGCCTTCCTATTATTTCCACTTATATGTCCTATCAAGTACATCCCACTTAACACATCAAAACAAAACTTCAGATTTATACTCTACCCCATAGATGTCTGTACGTTGTTCACCCTGCTTGACACCTCTCTTGCTCTTAACCTCAGTTTTATTCATCAATAAATCCAACCTCAAATCTGACTTCTTAATACCCTCCACTGCTACCAACACCCAGTCCAAGCCCATGTGATCTCTCGCCCAGATTATTACCTCCTGTTTCCCTGCTTCCACCCTGGTTCCCCTAGCCCGTGGTTCTCACCTAAGAACTTGTTAGAAATGCAAATTCTCCTCCAAACCCAGAACCAGTACATCAGAACACCCTGAGGATGGGACACAAAACCTGTGGTATTAAGTCTTCCATATCTGAGGCCACCCCCCTCCCCTCATGTCTCCAATCATATTCCCTACAGCACTGTCTCCCTTGCTCACCTTGCCCAGGTACACAGAACTCCCTGTGTTCTATAAACACTCAGAAAGCTCCCATCACTGGGCCATTTCATTGGTTGTCCCTCTTCCTGGAAAGTTATTCACCCTCGCAGGTCACCTTCACGTCTCTATTTAAATGTCACTCTCAATAAATCCTTCTCAGACCACCTACATAAAATAACACCTTCTTCCTGAACTAGGCTCCTTACTCTGCTTAATTTTTTTGCCAGAGCACTGTTACTACCTAACCAAGCTAAATGTATAGGTTCTGTTTATTGTTGTCTCCCTACATTCTCCTATGTAAACCTCAAATGGACATGTTTTATTTACTGCTATACTCTGAGCAACTAGAAAAGAACCCTATACTTAACAGATGTCCAATAAATGTTAACTTTCTAAGGCAATGGCTGCCTGTGGTTGATTAAAGGAATGATACAAATGTGCAGTCAAGGAAGAACATTTAATATTACTTAAGTAACGAACAAGATTTCAGAGCAGAAAAAAAACACATTAAAACAAAACAAATCAATGAAACAAACACAACAACCCAAACCCAGAACTGTAAGGCAAACGAGAGGGACAGAGTGCAGCAGTTGACACTAAAATTAATCACTTCAAATTAATCACTGGTGAACAAGGCTTAGGAAGACTTCAGATCCGAGACCAGAAAGAACGGCAGGTAGGCTTTACATAAAGCATGACGACAGATAAAATACAAGAAGAGAAGAGAGTACCATGTGCAATACCAGAGAAGTGCAGGTTTGCTAAGGACACTTTTCCCAAGGTGTGTTTGGTGAGAATGGATTAGACAACTTTAAACAGATTTCTTTAATGCAGGGCTTCCTGGTGATGTTAACATGTTTAGTGTTAATCTCTAAGAGAGGAAGTAGAGTATGCAGCATTTCCCTGCCTTAACCACACAATCTTGTGTTTTGTACAAGCAGAGACATGCAGCCACCCTTAACTTGTATTACTGTTAGTGACATTTTCATCCGTCTTATTTTGTTGTAATTTGCCTACTGAATTAACACAGTAATAATGTCTCCCCAAACAAGACTCCTTTCATTCGTATATTTAAGCAGAGTCTGCCGCTCCAGTTCTGAACACACAGAGGCCAACTGCCATTTATCTGACTGTTCAATATTCTCTACACTTTGTTTACAGTACCACAAATCTTCCACTTGGGAAATAAGATTCTGAAATGTTATCTTCACGATTCCATTATTTATTCAATTTGCAATTAATAACCCAATATGAGAACAATGTAAGCCTAAAATATTTTAAGTGTTCTTAATGCTTTTGAGAGTTTGTAAGTATTTTGAACTCCTAAAAAGGTATTTAGATCTAAAACATATTAGAACCGAACAACAACAAGATAGTACCATCGCAGCAGCTATAAGGTACTCAAGAGATCACCCAGTCCGGTGTGCTGAACAGGCCTCACCAGCACTTTTACAGCAAAGATATCATGATGTCTTTACTCAAAGTCAAATAACAGTTAGGTACCAAAAGCAGCAAGCAGAGCCCAGGTCACCTGACATCCAGTTGGTTATCTTTTTAATACACAATACAGTGTATACTCATTTTAATTGGGGAAACTTAAAAACTGATAAAGAATGATTTAAGTGTGATAAAATCTGGGGTAAATCAACTTCAGTAGTCTTGAAGACATCTTTTTCTATCTACAAAAGAGGCAAGACAAACCAAGTGTAAAAGCTAGAGATTTATTGTTATTTTGTGATTAATAAATTGTCAAATTGGTTATGACACTACCCCACACTGTATACCACCATTCGCCAGTACAAAAGTTTCTTGACCACACTGAGGCATAAGGCAGAGAGAGCAAAGACACATGAATATCATCCTTAACAACGTCCTCTAGTCCTGCCTCTCCCTTGATCGTCATTCATGTTTTCCTTCTGGGGAAAGTGTCAGAACTGTGCACGGGCTGGTGGGCAACCTGGCCTCTTGACCTTTTTTAATAGCAAGCAACTTACAGAAGTAATGGAATTCAACTTGTATTTCCCTTGATTTTATTGGTCTGAACTCATTTTAGGTTACTTTAACATTTTAATTTCCTGTAACTGTACATGAGAGAATATAACGACCTAAGAGAATACTGAACCAGAGTCAGCCAAATATATTACTGACCCCAAAGTTATGTTTTAATTGGTCCTAAAGGAATGTACCACACCCCAACAGTTTGAGAGTTAGGCAAACAGAACTTCTTTGGGGAGGGAAGAAAAAGGCTGTAGAACAACAGCCCAATGAATTCAACATTGTTAAAACGGCTCTTTGTTTTTCACCCCTGAATGATACCTCTTTACTACACTATATGCACAGAAATCCTAACAGAATCTTGGTTGCCAGTACTATTTAGGCTGGCCCACTCCAGGAGAGACCCCCCCCCCCCCCCCCCCCCCCCCCCCCCCCGCCCCCAGCTCCCCTTCTCTGAGGCTCTGAAAAGCACAATATTTAACTATTTCTTAATAGAACTACCAAAACACTTCAGAAACAAGTGGCTCACAAATCATTTTAAATTTATGTATTGCCTGTGCATGAGAAAACTGATAAACCCAAAAGATAGTTCTATTTTTATATGGCAATTAAAAATAACTGAAACATCAAGACACTTTCAGTGAAAGCAACATTTCAATTACAAATCGTAATGCCTGTTAAACTACCTATGGGAGAAGCTGAAGAGTCCTAGGCAGATGCACTTTTGGGCTGTACTACAGTGCCCCTTCAGTCTGCGCAAAGATGAAGGTAATTTACAGTCAATCTGTGAATGTTGACACAATGTTACATTATGTTGTCTGTACAATTAAATGTCCTTAGAGAGATAACCAGAATCAGCTTTTCTACTATATTTCCAACAAACCTAACCGGCACTTTTGCTGAGAGATACTTATCAAAGATGCTGTAAGATTCTACACAATTAGGAAATACTCAGCTTTAAAGTATTTCCTTATCTCCACTTTTTTGGTTACAAGTGCTTTGCTCAGATAATCTATTGCAGTATGTTTCTAGAAATGCAATCCCAAATGTGCATACTATATTGTATACAAATAAAGCAAAAACTCTCAGTAGTATAAATCTTACAGCATTTTGTTTGCAAAACTACATGCCAAAGTCACAATAAGCAATATTGTACCACAAATTATAGAGCGCAAATGATTTGCTTCTTTTTAATGCTTTTATTCTACATAAATTACTACCATAGGCTAATGTTTAAAAGCAAATAAACTGGACAGATGCAGGACAAAAATCTGTTCACCCAACTATAAAAGGTGATGTTTTTTTTTTAAAAATTACAATAAATGCAGAGTGTTTGATGCATGCAGTAGCCTTAAATGAAAAAGCATTGATTCCCACCGTTAAAAAAAAAAAAAAAAATACAGAGAAACCCACACATCTTACTGCACTCCACCTTAAAATGCATCATATTGGGTTTGTTTATAGCACAGAATTCCAAGAGTCAAAATGAAATAAAGCGGGTATTTTAAAGATTTAAGAGCCGTTATCAAAAATAAATTACATTTTCTCAAGATACAGAAATGCTGCTATGATGGCTGGGAGCCCAGTAACCTTTCAATAGCGGCATTGATATCACCTCCTGTTGCTATTAGCGCTTGCAAGTTTGCTTCACGGTTCAAAAATCCCATTGCACTGAGCTGTTCCAGTTGTTGCTGAAATCTGACTTCTGGATTCTGTAGCTGTTAAAGGGAAATAAAAAAGAAAAAAAAAAAACTAACCAAAACTCTAAGGAAAATCAGTCTGTGTCACACCTAAATAAATGCTAAAGTTCTAATTGCTTTCTTACAACATATGCTGCTCTACTAGGCTATAAAAGCACTGGCTCTCTTGAAACATGGTCAACATATTTAAAAGTCCATTAGCACTTAATTTTGTTACTTTAAATAGTCTTATTTATACTTAAATGATCCTGTCAGATAAAGCACAAAACTCTGCTTTAAAAAAAAAAAAAATCGCTTAATAAACATCACCCATTAGATATATTTAAGAAGCTGATAAATATGCAGGAAACGTAAGTATATATACAAATTAGTTCAGAATTAATGATTTTATCTTGTACTTATTGCCAGTGTCCTCACATACACAATTCTAAAGTTCGAATGTGGCTTAGAATGGGCACCGGATGCCTGCACTGGCCAGTCACGTGTCCAGGACAGCTCGAGGTCCAGGCCCACGGAATACACAAACAGCTGCACCAAATCTTTTTCCAGAAATGAAGACAAAAATACACAAATGATCAATCAATCCTGGCTGATGTGATAATTAATGGGGAGGCCTGTAGACTGTTCAACTTCTATAACAATTCTGTCCAATACCTAAAATCTTTTCTTCTTAATAATTCCATCAATATTACACTGAGCCAGAGGCCATATATTGGGAATACAAATACTTCTATAAGACAAAACCCTGTCCTGTTTCTTTAAAAGATTTAAAATCAGAAAGCATGCTGTATTACTGTATTACTGCCATGCGGAATTATGGGGGCAATCTACTGTAGCATTTTGAAATGGCTACCATCTTTGTGCAATGGCAGATTCTTAGTAAAGCTAATACATGTTTCTAGATGTAAGACATTATTAGAAGTCTACATTTTTAAGCCGTATTTGTGAGGTTTACATATGTTACACAAGTTCCCAGAGGAGATGGTAGTGGGTAAGGTGAGGTGGGATTTTTTTCTTTAAGTCATAATACAAGGACTAGACAGAACTGTAGTTACCGTAGGTTTAGGAGGTATTTGGGATAATCAAGTGTATGTTTCTCCCTGACAAACTTTTATAAAATACAACAAATTTCAAGTGATTTCCAAAGAGGGACTCTAAAAAACGCATTTTTAAAGGCAACTTCCAAATAAGGTAAAGTTGCAGCATTTCTTCCATACAACTTTAATGTCTCATTCAGTGTCTAATAGTACACCCAAGTCATTCATTTTCGTAATGCCTGTTTTATAAGAGTGTGCTTTTTATAACATTCTAAACCCCGGAGGACTGTCTCTGTTTTTGGTTGTTTGTAGAAATTTCTAAGTTTCCAACAAGGAATATAAAATGTGAGCAGAAAAGAATCTTTACCTGAGGATTTACTCCAGCGAGAGCCTGCAGCATTTGTTGGATGAACTGCTGGTGTCCAGGTTCAGTGGCTCCTGTCGTGGGACTTGGGTTGTCACCAGGCGCAGAGTTAGACCCGCTGCTTCCTGAAGAGCCTCCAGTGCCTCCTAATGCCCCCAGGCCAGGAGTAAACCTAGGAAAGCACAAATTGGTCATAAACCCTAAGCTCCTGCAACAGGAGGCCAGACCAGGCCAGCTGATGGTAAGCTGTTATCTTCTTAAAATGAGCATTTTCAACTTTGAAAATTAGGTCTTGAAAACAATCCCAACAAAAATAGGCACAACGATACCGAAGTATGAAATGCTCAGAGAGAAGAAATAACCACTATGCACTTTCAAAATTTTTTTTTTTTTTTCAACGTTTATTTATCTTTGGGACAGAGAGAGACAGAGCATGAACGGGGGAGGGGCAGAGAGAGAGGGAGACACAGAATCGGAAACAGGCTCCAGGCTCTGAGCCATCAGCCCAGAGCCCGACGCGGGGCTCGAACTCACGGACCGCGAGATCGTGACCTGGCTGAAGTCGGACGCTTAACCGACTGCGCCACCCAGGCGCCCCCCACTATGCACTTTCAAAATCGCCCCCAAATAAGCATACCCTGGGATGAGGCCAGGGGCTTCCGTTGCTAATGTCTGTAAACCCTGTTGAATCTGTAACAAGGCCTGCATCGCTCTAGGATTTGACATTGCTGATAATGTATCCGGATTCTGCATCTAAGGAAGAAAGAAAACAGGTGGTTAACAAGGGAATTAAAATCAGTGAAAGTAAAATTTAAATGTTTCTTTGCTGTGTTTCTGGAGAAAATTTACAACCTTACTCCCAGACACTGGTAATCCAGAATTTCTTTCCCCAAATAAACACAAGCACCTCCTCCTCGACAACAAACCTAGTATGCAAATCATTAACTGACCTCCTCCCAAGTCCAGCATGAAAGCCATTTTTCATAATGAAAGACAATCAGGAGCTACGCTCCCAAAGCCACAACTGTTCCCTTTCTTCAACAGAAGATAGAAGTGTTATTTCTAAGAGACAACCTCCAACTGCACAAGTTTATTTAACATGGTAATATGGTGAAAGCCACCTATTCCTCCTGACCAAGCGTTATCTGTTGCCAATGTAACAATTTTACCAGTAAGATACACTCTAAAACCATAGTTCCAAATTTGAAGTTAATACGTGTGTCCTGAGAGTTCAGCTTCACTACTTCCAAATATACACCACCTGACTGACCAAAAAAGATAGGCTAACATTAACATCATTACAATAGATCAAAGACAATAACTAACCTTGGATAATGGCTTACAGGCCTGAGATCATTTGTATGTTTAAAAGCCCTAGAACTACCAGTTTCAAAACACCAAGACTGACTTCTCTTTTGTCTTTTTAAATAATAAAATACCATTCCAATCTCAAGTATTTTTTTATAATAAAACCTTCCTTATAGAACAACTCTGCCAATTTTAATCTTGCTAATTCCGAGTCTGAGGAAATGAGATCTACCCCTCAAAAAGAGACATTCCATTAATTTGAGGAATTAAAACATTACAAAGAAACCAAAGCTGTAAAATAGGATAGGGTAGTGCTCCTTCCCATTACTCGAGATTAGTTAAACCATAAAGCATAACATGACACAATGAAGCACTTCAAAGTTAGTAAAGTGAAAGGAAATGGTTTATGGCATTAACGAAGCATTCAGAATCCTAAATCCTCAAAAGCAAAAACAAAATGGTCCTTTCCTCAGAATTTATGTTTAAGAAATATAAGCAAAAGGTCAGCAGTGAAATGGGGCTCAGTTAAGATCAAGCTGAATTCTCTGTGAATTGACAGCATTATCAAACTAACTTCTATGTTTTGCTATCAGCCAGAGAAGAGCAAGGAAAATGTTTATCATCAAACTTTTTCAAGCAAATCATTACCGAAGATAGCTAGCATCTTTTCTTACTCACTTGTTGGAGGAAAGTTGGGAGCTGTTGTCTCATTTGTTCTTGAAGCTGAGGATTTCCAGCAAATAGGGGATTATTCAGCATCATCTATGGGGCAAGTGTTCAAACAATTTTAACTGGAAATATCTGAAACAAGTAATGTACCTTGTTTAATAGTCTATCTTCCCCCAAGTGCCTAATCTGGCACTTACAGGGAGGAAGGTAGAACATGAATAAAAAAGGAGAAGGGAAGATACTGTCCACAAGAGGGATCTCCAGAAAAAAAAAAAAAACAAAAATAAAACAAAAACGAGGCATCTTCTCTCTCAATGAGAATGGTGATTATGATAATGACATGCAATATCCTAAAAAATAAAAACAATCATTTTCTTAGGATTTTCCTTGAGCAAAGGTGAATATTTGCCCTTAAAAGAAAAATGGGGGTAACTGGCATTCAGGAGGATACATTTTCTGCTACACTGACAGAATAAACATAAGCATCAATACATGAAACGATACATGGCTTGCTTAGACACCTCAACACACAAGTGTTGCACAGAGAACAACCCAGATCTGGAACCACTAAATCTACCTGCCTACTGCAAGACAGCTAATATTAGGTCCAGAAAAATAACACACTGCAGAACAGCAACCAACTTGCCAGAGAAATGGAGCTGCTAGGTGAAAATCAACCCATGACTAGCACCAACAGATCTCTGGGGAAAGTATTAAAATACGTTAAGACCCGAAAGATGTAAATCCATTTGAGAACACCAAGGTTAGCCTCTGGATTTCACCTCACTACCACCAGAGATGAGAAAAGTGGCATACCTCCTATCATTCAAATAGGTGTTAAGAATTAAAGTCAGGGTCAATATTAACATTAATACCTGAAAATAAGATTACAATACACAGCATAACCAGAAACTAATTCTCATAGCTTTGAAAAAGACAAAAGTTTTATCACTTTCCCCACATGGAATGAAAAATCAACTAACAATGATTTACTGATCGCCTATTTACCAGTCCAAAGTCTGGAGGGTAAAGTAAAGTGATCCTTGCCCTCAAGTAGTTAACCATATTTGAGAGCAATTAACTATATGTACATAGTAGAAGTATAGAGAATTCTACTTTCCCTCCTCTGCCTATTACTACAAAGTGGATTATTTAGTTAATTTCAACAAAATAACTAAAGCAGAAAGAAGCCAGTGTTTTATGGATATACGATATTCATTTCAAAGTGACCAAAAAATTCACAATAAATAAAATAATACCTACTTGAGATCAACAAACCTGCTTCTTTATTGGCTCCAGTAAAAAACTTTTTATTACAAACAGATTAATCAAGTTATCACATTTATCTTTCAGGATTCAGGTCATTTAAGAAAGCTTGTCATCTTATATGGAATCATTCTTTCTCAGAAAATCATATCTCATTTGATTAGGATATTTCTCCTAACTTACCTGACTATACAACAATACAGTTTTTATACTCAGACTTTTTTGAATATCTAAAAATCAAAATCAGAATAAACTGCAAACTTTAAACCTTCTGATAACCAGAGTATGTTGTAAATGTTTCTAAACTGTCTACAGTATCTAATCTTCTTTGTTACCATTTTGCTTTAGAGTTGAAAAAACAATACATGAAAGTGCTCAAATGACTCTATAGTGTTGTTAGGTCAATTAAATGGCTGAGAATGTGCTTATTATTAAAGTCAAAAAACTTAAACGAGATGCACATTCAATGCTAATTAGTCAAACAGACATTTAAAAACATATAAATATGATCACTCAACATATATATTTTTCTACACTCATTTTATTTTTATTTAAACACTTTTTTTTTAAATATGTTTAATTACTCACTTTCCCAAAGCCTCTGTGTCTGAAGATATTGAATACAGACAACCACAAGAAAAGTTAACCAAGCAGTAAAAGAAAAGCAATGATTGAGAAATATAATTGTGTCCAAAACTCCATCTGTTTAAAATCCTAGAGACTTGGGACATATATAACAAAAAATCACCACCACCACAATCATCAAGAAGTATCCCACACTTATTTTAAACAAAAGTGCTGTGAACACAGTAAGCGACACCATTTAATACTAATAATTCAGAATACTTTTACATTAATAAGAGTATACAAAAACTCACCTAAATACTTGTTCTCTATTTCCAATTCCACAAACATTAAAGAGGGCAGAAGTTATTGCTGAGGACTGTAACTCAAAGCTATCTGCCATTATGTACTTGAAATCCATATAGTTCCAAAATTTAGAAAATGAAAATCATTCCATTTGACATAATGAAGAAAGTGATTACTTTTTTAAAACAATTTTTTAGTGTTTATTTTTGAGACAGAGCATGAGTGGGGGAGGGGCAGAGAGAGAGAGAGGGAGACACGGAATCTGAAGCAGGCTCCAGGCTCTGAGCAGTCAGCACAGAGCCTGATGTGGGGCATGAACTTACGAACCTGTGAGATCAGGACCTGAGCAAAGTCAGACGCTTAAACCGACTGAGCCACCCAGGCGCCCTGAAACTGATTACCTTTAAAAGCTTTTAGAATTTTGCAAATGGGTATACACTGTAATGGGAAATCTTTAAAATCCTAATACTCTACACAGTAAATATGAACTATAGATGATCAAGGTTATTTAACAATTCTCCAATGTTTTTCAATTCCAATGGTTCTTAACCTAGGGGCCCATCAGAACCACCCAGGGAACTTTGGGGTTAGAGGAAGTGCAATGTAATTACATAAAAGTCTCTCAGAATGGAGCATGGTTTGTTGTTGTTGTTGTTTTTAAGTTCCCAAAGTGATCCTAAATGTTCAGCCAAGGTTGAGTCCACTAATTCCCTTAGTTACGGTCTCTTCAAAATGAGTTAGAAAATTAGTAAATTAATAAAAGACCATTATACTAACTTCAGGGGCAGAAATTTATAGCAGAAAGAATAAGAACACTGTCCCTGCAAATTTCTGCCTGTAAAATAAACAATATCAGGCTATTTTATAACTGCTATTTTGAACCTATTACTCAAAATCTATGTGACCTAATAAATAAAAGTATTCCAAGAAATGTATTAACACTTCTTAATCACTTTCAAGATCTACATTTCACTAAAGAATACATCTTCCAAAGGGTGAGCAATCTAAAACTTTTGTAGTCATCTCCTAAATCAATATAGGTAGATACAAAGTAAACCTACACTTCTTTCTAGCCAATGAATAGCAGAGATGAAGCTGTTTAATTATATATGAAGAATTAACTTACAGCAAAGAAACAAACTGTCCAAAATATTGAGAGATACAGTTTACCTACTTTTCTACAGCTAACACAACATAACACAAATGTATCAAAATCACAATTATTTGATTATGCAATTTCAATTCACAGTGCACAGTCCTCTTGAATACAATTACAAACTCACCTGTGCAGCAAGGTCAGGGTTCTGGCTTAGGGACTGCATCATGCTTCTCATGTAGGGGGCAGACAACATGTTCTGCATAAGTTGTGGGTTTTCAGTTATTTGTTGCAACAAGCTCTGCATCCCTGGTGTATTGAACATACTAGCTGAAAGTTTGTTTAAAAAAAAACAACACATTGTATCAAGGAAAAGACAAACTAAAGTGAAAGTTTTAAAATATATACTGTGCATAATTTTAGGAACTGCAAATGAGCATGCAAATTCCTAATCAACTGAACTAAAAAAGAATTTTAAAACTAAGATCTCCAAAACCACATGCTCAACATATACCAGTAAAGGAGGGCTTATGATTTTTTTTTTTTTTTTTT